TTTTCGAAAACTATTACTCGCACAGTAAAAATGAATAGAACATAAAATGTATATTTCAAAGAGATCTACAACTTTTGTTTAAAATATTTTTCAAAATTTTTAATATTTGTGTCTAAAAATTACATATAATTGGTTGACATTGTTTTTTTAATAACTTTTTAATAAACAACGAGCGCCGGCTAAATCCTTCTGAGGGTTACTCAGGAGGGTGACCTCTATAATATATGTCAAGCCCAAGGTTATTGGAGGTGGGTGTGTTAATCTAAATAATTACCATAAAATGTTGTCTGACAAGCTATGTTAGATTGTACAGCAAGTTTATTAAAGTTTGATTTTTATCATTAATCATCCCATTTTATTGACATGCTTTATTTCTACTAGCACACTTTGGTATAATTAAATGTGTCAAGTTTTGTATTAAACTTGTATACCTTTTGCCGGCAAAATTTGTAGCACACACTGTTCTAGATATTCACTAGAAAATTATTTAAACATTCGTTTGTACATACAAGATTGCTCCGTTTATATCGAACAGTCAGTACGATTGCATTCTGATCAAATTAAACTTTGCATTGTTGTAGTTATAAATAAACTAATACCTCTTTTTTATTTGAATTAAAATTTTATTCAATAACAACAGACCAACTTGTAGAGGCCCTCCACCACTCCCGCCAATTTTGATCGGCGGTCCTCTTTTTCTTTACAATTTGGTTTTATTAACGGAGCAATCTTGTACAATTACAAAAATACTTAGAAATCATATAAAAAATGAAAACTTTTTGTAAATGCACATGTGTTAAAAATTATAAGACACAAGAAAGGCAAATAGATTTTGTCAAAATTTTTGATACGATCACAGAATGTGCGAAGTTTATACGGTGCTAAATATTGTTTAAGTAAAATAACAGTTTGGAATAATTAATTCGCCAGCGATTAATTAACAATCAGGTGAATAATCCGATACGACTGGCTACAGGAAAAATCCTTTATTTCTTCACTACGTTTCAAGTGTACAATTAGGCGTATGGCATGTGGTTAAATGCCATACGCCGTAATTGTACACTTGAAAAGGACCTAAACCAATGGCCGAAACGTAGTGAAGAAATAAAGGATTTTTCTTGTAGCCAGTCGTGTCGGATTATTCATCTGATTGTTAAAATAACAGTATTGAATCAATAGTATTGAATTTCTAAGTTAACGTGCATTTCAAGAAACCCAAGACCTCGAATTCTTCTTCATAGAGTAAACAGAATTTTTTTATTTTTATAAGTATAAATTAAAATTTATTTTGATAAGTTAATTATTAAAATTTTTCGTCAATGGCAACTTGTTACAATCGGCAATGAACGAACGAAATTATCCTTATCTCTGATATTCATACTATACTTAACATTTTTTAACCAGACATGGTTTTCAGTAAACAGAAAAAGAGAGTTTCAGTTTTTCACAAAATAAAAATTAATATTTACCATAAAGGTGATCCGCTGGCGCCCGATGCCTCTCCTGGGCCTCCTCTTCCTCTCAGATAGTCCTCCGGCACACTCGCGAAAACACAAAGATCGTTCGTGCGATTTTACACTCCCGTTTATAAAGCCCATGTGAAAGTATGTATTTTGTTCCGTCAGGTTCGCCTCCACTTCGAGTCGACGAGTATTATACCCGAAAAATCTCGAAAGTGTAGCCATCGACAGGAACGGACATTTAACGAACACTTGTTTCTCAAATGGGCTTTAAAAAGTCTTTAGTTCGAATATTTAAACGGCACTCCCGAACGCGACGAAAATGGAAACTTCATGTAATACGCGCACTTTTGTAAGTATAATTGTTCGAGAGATTATTTCTTGGCAAGCGATCGATGTATTATAATTTTTCGTTATCATTTTACCCGACGATTCGTGTATTACCTTGCGCTTATTTATCTCGACGAATCACTGTAGTAATCAACGATATGACTACGGATCGCGACAATTACTTAAACGCGATTAATAAATGTTAATATCTCTCGTACGAGACGATCGAGATTCTCGTAGAAAATGATCGCGTTAAGACGAACGACGCGAAGACACGCGAAACATCCGCTTCACTCAACTGAACCGCGCCAAGTGATAGACTGTTTTCGACCGAGGTGTTCACGGCGCTACGTCATTTCGTGGAACCGGCGCTCGGCTTTCGACCGAGTTGTTTATGTTGCTCGGTCTATAGCGCTACGTCATTTTTTGGAATTTCGGCAAAACAAGGTCACGCCGTACGTAGGATCATTCACGCGGCGACACTTGAACGAGTCTGTTATGCCCGCGACGTTCCGCATATCGTATTATTCTTTTTTGATACGCGTACGTGACAAGCACGGAAAGAAATTGCGATTGCTCTCTGCAAATAGTTAGTAATCGATATCATCGCGTGATCGCTAAATCTTCGCGATTTACTATCTATGCTCGGTTAGCCAACAAGACAGATATCTAGCGCGATTCAAATATGAGATCTATACATCCAAGAATAAAAGCGCTAGCGAACTTGAAATTATTTCTTTATTGCGATAATTACGGACGATACGATGCTTGTATTCGGATACATCTCGTATCATCGCAGCGAGTCTCTCGTCGCTACGAGTATAATTTGTTGGCCGTTTGAAAACGAGAAGCAATACATGAAATATTGAGTCGAGTACTTTAACTAGCATTTATCGGTGATTTATTAATACTACTAGTTTATATATTTTTTACGGAATTCATAAATAAAAATACATATGCGATAATGAATTTTTATTTATTTTTGGACGATTCTGTCTCGATTAAGCATTAACTCAGTTGCGTTTAAATTTTTCGTTTATTAACGAAAATGTATAATCTTGAAAGTTTTCTTTTATTAACAGAATCATACGAATGCTGGTCAGAATGCAGAACTTTGAGTAGAATTTCATTGCAATACGTTTAATTAAAGAATTAAATATCAATTAATCTTATTCGTGCTTAATTATATTGTAATATTTACTCATCGATAGTTTAAATTAATACGTCGGCGATTTCTGTTGATTAAAATTCGTACCATTAATAATAAATTTACATGGAATACCGAGTGCAAATAGTAACTTCGTGCAATCGTATATTTTTCGTGTTTCGTTTCCTGTCGCGTGTGATTAATACTGAGGTGTTATACAAAGTGCCACGAAGTCTCAATCAACCCACGAGGTTTGGTCAATCATGCCACGAGACGTAAGTACACATTTCATATGAGATTTGGTAGAAAATTCGGTAATACTGAAGGATATTATTATATATTTCTGGTCATGGGATATTTAATCTCTATTTTTCGTACATATAAAAAATGTATTAAAGTCGGGTGCTAAGGTCACACGGGTTAGGTTTAAATAACGAATTAGACAGGTGTATTCGCAAAGAACAAATAACGAGTGAAGTGCATCTCTGGGAGATTCTCCAGCAAGAATGGAAACGTATCCCGACATCTCTGAATCTCTGCAAAAGTTAATCTATTGCATGGCGCGAGTGTGCAAGGCAATCATTAAAGCAAAAGGTGCGTTACTTTGAGGAAAATATAAATTTGATTTAAATCTTTATTAAAAGCTTGTCGTATGGACGTATGTATCTTCGTTTTAATTTTCTTTAGTTAAATAAACACATACAAAGCAAAATACATCGATTTCATTATGTATTTCTTTCATATTACACACTTTTATAAAGTGTTTCCAAACTAATGGAGGATACTGTAGTTATATACGAGTAAAAATATGTGTGGCTGTCAAAAAGGTCTGTTGTCGGTAAAAAAAAAGTTTTAAATTTTCTTTAAGGAAATATCTTACGGGCGACTAGCGACACACCTATCTGTATGTATTAAATACTTCCTTGAGCCTCAATCCGCCGCGCATGCGCAAAAAACGAGAACAGTCTGACATCATTGACCAAAGCTTGCCTATACTCCATTTATATCTCGTGCTGTCAGCTGTCAGCTGTCGTCTTCATTCTTTGTAATTTGGCGTGTACTACTATCCAAAACAGTTTTTCGTCTAATTTATCAACTTAAATTATTCGCAAATATACGTTAGAGTGTAATAAAACAATAATTTAACGTATAGTATATAAGTGCGTTGTGCACAAGAGAAGGAGCACAATTATACGGAGTATCGTAAAATTGGCCATGACTGCAGAGGTTGAGGATGACATTTATGCAGGGTACAATGATTATCCGTCGGTGTATAATATCAAGGATCTCGAGGAGGATGAATTATTTCAGGAGGTTATCAAGACAAGTTATGGGAAAAGATCAATAGTGAGTAACGATTAGTCATTATGTTTCAGGTTATATTGCCGACACTCTTATATCCTTATATATATTTTATACTGTATAACACAATATTTAATTATTATTAAATTGCAATTAAATGTCTGTTTCTTTTCTTGCTCTACACCTATTTTATTTCATATTTGACAGTTTACTCCAAAAACACCAGGCACTGCAATGCGTCTTGGAACATCAAGTCGAGTAAGTTATTGAAGACTTTATATGTAGAGGAAAGTCCTCTGTTATGAAATAGGATTAGAATATGAGATAGTAAGTTTTCAACGTCCAAATTCAATCAAATCTTATTTCGCAACAATTGTACGATCCAACAATCAATTTTCCACGAAACAGTTGTTATTCCAAGGGCAATAAATTTATAGTGAAACCAACAGATGATGCCTATTAATTTAGCAGAAACTCCGCTATATTATAATAGGGGACTTTCCTCTGGTTACAATAGAACAGATAAAATAGAATACCGTATCATGAACAATTTAATTTGTGACTATCTTAGTTTGTAGTAAATATAAATAGCGATTATATGTTATAATTAATTGTGGACTAATTTTAATAATCAAATTGAAAGTTTTTTTACAGAGATTTATAATATAAAAAAATAAATTTCAAATTAAAGAAAGAATTTGTCATTAAGCACCGATACTGCAAGATACTTCATATATCTTGCTGTGGTTTTATAATTTTATCGATATCATATGTGTATGCTTGATTTCGTATGGCATCTTAAATGCAATTGTGCTTTCCTAGTTTCAAAGAAGTGGCACTACTACGTCAATGCAACCTATGGCCAGTGGGCTTAGACCTATGACAGCGGTGAGAAGTGCCGGATATACCAGCAGTCAACAGGCTTTCGATCCTCTTAACATGGGGACCAATTCCAAAGTTCCCACGGCTGCATTAGAAATTAACAAAGAAGACACGTAAAACATATTACATTTTTATTGCATATATATATTTTTTAATAAAATTTACCTAAAATGTTATACTAAAATATATTTTTCTGATTTTTCTCTTCAGACCAGAGGAGAAGATAAAAACAACGGAACGAAAAATAATGGGTTTGATCGAAACTTCTGCACAGGCCGCCTCAGAAAATAACATGAAGATTGCTTTGGAACGCGCTCGTGAAGCTTCCTCAAGGGAAAGAGCCCTTATACGATTGCAGGAACAAGCTGGTCTCAGTGACAATCACAATATAGACTTAACATTTGCTGTAAGCTCATTGAATTATTATAATCTCTTATATTGTAATTTTTATATCAATAATCCGACTGCAACTTCGATCTAATTTTCATTTTTACAATTACTGTTTCCCATTGCTACTTATATTTTATTTTAATAACAAATCGCCAGAGAGAGACGAATATACGACATTCTGTCTCAGAAACGATATAAAATTGTATTTTCTGAGTGAAGCCAAAACTTTGTTGAACTTTTTCTTTTCAAATAATTTTTTTCTAATAATTAAAAAACGAAATTGTATATTGTTAATAATTATGGATCTTTTATAATAATTTTTATAACATTTTATTTTTAAGATTTTTGACTAATTGTAGTTGAATTGAATTTTTATATCTAAATGTATAATTTACTTTTATGAATAATATGGGAATGATACGACCAATTTGTGCATATAATCATGTATTACATAAAACTATAATTACAAAATACAATCGTGACTGACAATGAGACGGTGTGTTGCATATTTTAATTACAAGAGATCAAGAGTTACAGTCCGACTATTATTTTATCTGAACACATTTTTAACTTAATTCTCCACAGGTACTATTCAACTTAGCAATTCAGTACACAAACAACGAAATGTATACAGAGGCTATAGCAACTTATCAGGCCATAACGAGGAATAGGATGTTTAGTAACAGCGCTCGACTCAAAGTGAATATGGGTAATATTTATGTAAAAATGGGACAACTATCTCAGGCTATAAAAATGTACAGAATGGCGTTTGATCAAGCTCCGACAGCCCACAAGGATCTAAGGTAAATATACAATCTTATACAATTGAGAATTTTTTATACAGTTAAAGAACGAGTATGCCATTGCTAGTAATGCCATTAACCTGGCGAGAACTTTGCAATTTATACAATTGAGAATCCATACGGTCGAAGAACGAATATGCCATTGCTAATAACACCATTAATCTGGCAAATACTTCGCAGAATAAAGATTATGCATAACATGGGAATGTTATTCGTGCAAATGGGACGATTAGAAGAAGCTGCTAATAGCTTTGAATGGGTGATGAGAGAGAGATCTGAATTTAAAGCCGGGTTGCATGCTGTTTTATGTCATTTTGCGTTATCTCATCGTGATAAGATGAAAAGAGCTTTTTTAGAGTTACTAGAAGTACAACTTAATGTAGATCAGGAGGACAAGTATAGCATAAATCCCGTGAGTTTGGCACGATCAAATTGTGCTTATGAAAGCTATAAGTCTCTAAAATATTTTCAACACTTGCACTGGCTTGTACACAATGTGTGTCTTATAATCCACATAAAAGTGCACATATTTTGCTTATTGCCAAATTTATTGCCTCTTTTCATCAAGTATTCAACACTACAGATTTCTCCTCTCTTCTTTCTGTAAAATACATTTGGTTGAAGTATATGTAAATATGAAATGATAGTTATATGTGAAAATTTATTCAGATATAACTTTTCCTTTATATGTATAAATCATGAATGCAACACCAGGCTATGTTGCTACAACTTATATTTCGTTATTTATGTATTAGGATGATGCGGCATCTAATCTATTAAATGAAGTTATAAAGAATGACGATTTATCAAAATTGGAAAAAGAAATGAAGTTGGAAGCTGAGAAAACTATACTTTGCGCGGCAAAGCTTATAGCACCTGTTATTGAAGATACACTTACAATTGGATATGCTTGGTATATTTTCAATAATTTAAATTTTTGAAGAATTACATTACATTTTAATATCGGGCTTCCTGATGAAAATTTGCGCAACTATTTTTAGGTGTGTTGACGCCATAAAGTCCTCGGCATATAGTGCTTTGGCTGCAGATTTAGAAATAAACAAAGCTATGGTATTTTTGCATAATCGAGAAACACAATTAGCCATAGATACGTTAAAAATGTTTGAAAATCGTGACACTAAAGCTAATAGTGCGGCAGCAACTATGCTTTCGTTCATTTACTATCTTGTGAGTAATATTTATAATATCTGCAGATATTGGTTTGTTTCTTGCGTCTAAGCAGAACATTTTTTAGCAAGGAGATTATGATCAAGCTGAAAGATATGGTGAAGCTGCTCGTAACGCTGATGCTTACAATGCAGCGGCCTACGTTAATTTATCCGCTTGTGCAATCAAAAAAGATGAACTGAACATTGCTAGGGAGCTATTATTGTGTGCGTTAGAGACAGATGCTAGTCACGTACAAGCCCTGTATAATTTAGGTAATAATTTTGTAAAGATTATTTCGTTTAAACACATTTGAATATTAGGGTAATACCCTCTTGCGTTATATATGTGTATTTTTATCTTTAATTTATATAATTAATTAATGCATATATCATTTTATTAAGGTTAATATGTTTCTGTTATATACAGGTCTGGTTTATAAGAAAGAGAACATGTTTGAAGAGGCCTTGGAATGTTTCTGGAAAATTCGAAATATTGTCAGACATGATCCACAAACGTTATATCACATTGGTCATCTATATCAATTGATGAGCGATATTGACCAAGCATCTGAATGGTATTTTAACTTAAATTATATGTTATACTTAATTTTTTAAATTTTATATAATTTATTTCTAATACTTGTATAACTATAATTAATTTGAATCTTACTTCAAACAGGTATAATCAGTTGTTAGGTATAATACCATCTGACCCTGGTATTTTACAAAAATTGGGAGAAATGTATGATTCAATAGGAGATAAACAGCAGGCATTTCACTTTTATAATGATGTAAGTGCTCTTTTTCTTTTTCAAATTAAATCTTTGAGTTGCTTATAATTGTATATTAATATTTTATAATATGTATTTATTAACTTTACTTTTACTATAGTCCCACAGATTTTATCCTGCTAATTTTGAAGTAATAGACTGGATTGGATCCTATTTCATATCAATGCAGGTACAGCTTTTTATTAAAATATACATATTTTTCTCTTTTATTACATACTACTTTTTCTTTAAGATTGCTGAGAAAGCATTGACTTATTTTGAAAAGGCTGTAGAACTTGCGCCAGATGAAGCAAGATGGAGATTATTAGTCGCCGCATGTTTAAGACGCACTGGGCAATTTCATAAAGCTCTCGCAGAGTATCAAGATATTCATAATAAATTTCCGGATAATATAGAATGTCTGAAATTTTTAATCAGGCTTTGCAGCGACCTAGGTTTGAAAGAAGCACAAACGTATGCGGCTGAATTAAAGAAAGCTGAAAAAGCTAAAGAACTAAAAGATAGACAAGGTTCAGCAAGACCAGGAACAACAGGTATGTGTTTTAAATGATCAATATTTGAAAGTAATAATTGAGTAACAATTTGTAACAATTAGTATATACATTGAGATTTAATAAACTTGAATTTTAACACTTTTTGCTAATTTCTTATTACTAATTTCCGTTCAGTTATTAATAGCAATAATATAAATTATTTATTTCTTTAAAATTATAATTACATCTTGATTGGACGGTTTCATAGGTTCTAGGAAGAGTAACAGTGGGACATCCTCGCGAGCTGGCTCGGGATTGAGTATAATGTCAGATCATAGACCAAGTCCGGATCGACGACCAATTTCAGGTCGAAATGATTATCAAGGTACAATTATTAAAACTTTTGTGGAATTAAATTGTTTTTCATATATCAGTCCCCACTCATTTACTCTAACAATCTAGTAAATGAATATTGAGTTTTTGCAATTACATATATATATATTTTGCATTTCTTTTTATTTTCTACATTTTATACATTTCTAACGTTTTGTAACACTGATAGAATATCTTACCATTTTAACATTACATGAATATTGTGGACAATTCAGCAGTCATTCAATTAGTAATTTTAGTACGATTACACGTTTTCCATTGTAAGCAAGCATCAGCAAAAGTGATCTACAAGTGGTACGCGAGGCACTCTAATGGATTGAATACATGATGGATGACTGCGGCTTTGACTAGTCTATTCTTGTTCTCTCTTTATCACTTAATATACTCGACAGATCGTTACATATTACTGATCGGAGTTGTAAATCTAACGATGCATATTACTAGAATATTCATGTCATATTAGGTCTATCTTTGTCTAGTATAATATTTATATATGTGATTATATAACTGTTTGAATGTGTTATTCGTTTATACAACAAAATTTCCACTTATTTTTAGGTATGAATTATGTAGATCCTGTAGGACCTCTTCCTACTCGCCCTATGACGGCAGCTGGAAAGCGAGATGATGATTTTGGGGATGAAGAACTCGGGGATGATCTCCTGCCTGAGTAATAACATCATACTTATCACGTAGTTATAAACTTGTATAGATTTTTGATATTTCCTGATCACAATCGTAGAAACGTTTAGATGTATGTAAATTATATTGTACGTAATTATGTCGACACAAGTGATTTTTACATTAATAGTTAAACCACATAGTTCATAACAAAAATGTTCAAAATTGCGATTACTAGAAATCAAAAAGTTTGTTACAGAAAGCAAATTGTATTAATTAATTTTCACTTTATTTGCATCTTAAAAGTTTTGAAAAACATGTACTTTCTTTAATACTATAGTTTGTGACATATTTTATTATAACAATGTGCAACTATATATTTAATTATTGTAATTTTATAATATTACACAATATTTTTGGCACATTAATGTTAGCAGTTATATTTAATACTAGTTAAGTGCCATGCGTGTATGAGTTTTATTATAACCGTCGAATAAAGTATCGCTCATAAAAGGGTTATTCATCTAAGTTTGTAGCATATATATGTATTCATTGTAGTTCTATTAATACATTGAAGATTTTAATGAGATGGGTCAGCGGATCAAATGTTCACCCTTTCAAGTGGTCAGTCTTATGGATGTATTTTATTAATCGTATGTCAATTCTCTACACAATTTACAAAATCTTTTTGTCACATGTTGTGTGCCATAGAATTGTAGAAGTGTCGTTTATTTCTTTACAATTTCTTTACATTTGTAACATTATATATTTACTAATAATGTATAAATTTGAGAAATATTTTATTGCACTTATATTGAAAGGAACGAAACCATTTGTACATAATTTACACTATATTATTTAATTACATTTTATTAACTTTTCCAAACTGCAATTTGATCCAATCGAATATATTTGAAGATTTAAGATTGGTCTTTATTAAAGGGGAAAGGAGGATTGGGCAATTGCAATGATCTAAATTTAAACACACATCAGCTGTTTTAATCAAACTCCATTCAGCTTATGTAGTCTACAGAGACAAATGTTACCTAATTGCTTTTCTGTATGTACATTTGTATACATATACGTATATATATATGTATGTATGAGTCTACATGTTATATACAAAAGTATTGTGCATATTCGTGCACTTCAATTACACATGTCTTTTATTTTAAACATTTACAAGAAAAATATACATATAAGAGAATTATTAAAAAATTATATTGACATGTTTAAGTAAAAAGAAAAGCAAGAGAGTGACCAGTGTCAAATGATTTTAGGTAATTATTTACAATTATTTTATTAATTTATTATTTATTTACCTATTTACAATTTATGATTAAACTAATAACTTACATTTGTTATAATTTTATGTTCTAATGATGAAACAAGACGAAACAAACGAAGTTATTGATAAAAAGAAGTTGGTTTAGGACGATAATCTGTTTACAATACACATTTGCGCATATACATATGTTCCTAATGAGACTTTCTATATTTCTTTGTGGCGTAAGGTCGTTGTGAAATGACGTTAATGTATATTTTTTAATTGAAGATAACACATACAACAAAAAGTCGAATTCAAAGATAAAACGCGTCACAATCAAACGGTCAATAGGTTTATTTGACCGATGATTGACTGTGTGTTCCATGCGATATTTACTTATATCTACACATGCTTGTAGTGGGTTTGTGAATCAAGTATGAATGGACGTGACTGTGTCATGCGAGACGCGTAAGCCACGTGCGATCATAAATGTGTCTCGTAATATCTCGGCAAGTATGCGCAAGACCTTTTTGAATTTTCAAATTTTGGGACGATTCGCCCTTTCATTTCTTAAAACACGAAATTGAAATTTCGATTCGAAGAGATAGTCAATGAGTGTATACAGTTGAGGTAATAAGAGAATAACTGTCAATACAAATAATCTCAAAAAGTCTCGCCGTATAAATTCGAATCAATGTTATTCAAACTTTTTGACTTCAAAGTTTTAATTTGATTAGCTCTCGGCAGCGTCAGAGATATCAAGTGTAAAAGGCTCGGGAGGCTACAGAAGAAAGAAAAATAACATTTGACCAAATATTTACTAAGACTCCGAATCCGGTTCCGAATTTATCAACATTCCGAAATTATCACATCCGTCAGTTCGACGGTAGAACATGAAATTCACAAGTTCGCGATCACCAGTTAACGTGGCGTTTCGTAGACGTCATAAGCACGGGGGCCGAAGTAGCCTCGCGCCTGTGCCCGCGTTGACGCGTTCACGCGTCGTCGGGGCACGGACGTATATGTGACGCACAAGGCCAGTAGTGGTGGATGCCAGACTGATCGTAGGTCACGCTGGAAGTTCGTCGGAGGCAGGACCAGTCGCTCGGCCCCGTCGTGAGAGCACACTTCTCGCTCCGATCACGCGTGTATTACGACGGAGAGCCAGGCTCGCCAAGACCAGCTGCCAGCCTCGCATCGATCGGTCCGGAGATCAGGGGAAGCGGTAGCACGTGTGCGACATCAGGTACCGTATCTCGCGAAATTGGGTCGCCATTAAACGCCCTCCTGCCTCAAACTGGAGCAACTCCTGGACCATCCACCTGTCGATACTCGTGAATTATGCGAGAACTCGTCGCGTTTGTCGTAGCGGTGTTCTTCAAAGACCCCTTTTACTAGATATTGAGCATGAAATATTGGCCCAAAGAGAAAAGGACTTATTTTCATGGTATGGTTATGAAATATACATCTTCGTAGAATATAACAGTGTCGTAAGATACGACAAGACGTACACAGTACGAAGTGACATAATCCTGTTATTCAGATTATAATCTGTTTCTCTTGAATGGACTTTTTAAATTATTCAACACGCACGTTTTGTATGAAATTACATGGAAGGTGTTGATATGAACATAACGTTATAGGTGTAAAATTAAATGAATAATTACTAATTATTAGGCATACCTTCAAAGATTCTAATGTAAAAAATGATTTTTCAGTATATTTTTTCTCTTTTCTGTACTTAAAAAAAGGTGCTAGTATTTTTGCGATTTTGTTTCCCTGATAAAAATTGTACATAATTTTGTGATTCTACTCCGAAACAAATAAATATTGTGAACATGATATATTGGTCCAATATTCTGTGGATAATCAATATCAGTTTCGAGATTCTGTTTTTCGATTCGAGCCACTTTCAAATTGTTGCTCTTGATATTGCGAGTGGTATTGTACACGTGATTTGAATTTTAATCGGCAAATTCTACATTTCCGGCTGACATGTGTCGCTTTAAACGCAATCCAGAATAAAAATTTCTCCAATAAACAGCAAAAATATGCAGTGGCTATTATAAATATAAATCGCGATCACTGTATTAGAAGTCATTAGAAATGACTTCTTTTTGTGACGGCTCCAAGGACACGTCATAATATTTCAATGAGATATGCGAATTATTCTCCAGCGATTTATCGAAGTCTATTACAATCGAAGTGAATGTTACGTGATTTGATGTTCATTTGAACGTCGAAAAGTCAAGATGTTATCGCGTTTTAGATAACAACTCGTCACAACACGCGGGCTCGCTTCTTCGATATTTACTTTCCTAGGCGAGAACCACGTGGCGATCCTTGAAAGAATATTGCGTGCACTGTCGCCGGATGTTACACCAGTTGTAACACATGACATTCGTTCAACATTTTGCCGTGTAATTCTGTCGCGTGCCAGAAGTTTCCGATACGTTCAGTTTCTATCTTTCGTGTTCTTTACGTAATCGGAATTGTACTTTATCGCGACGATAATCGGTGAACCAACTTCGAGGGCCACAAGTTTCTAAATTGTGGACTAAAGTCTGGTCGTCAGCCTTGCAGATGTTGAACAATTTCTTGTATTGACAAGATGAGATCGATCATTCTCATTAGAATAACGTGTATTTATAATGAGTGAGTTGGAAAACGATTATAAAAATTTCTATGATTTTTGGTGGTAACTATTTTCAGTACTTTATGAAAGAGTTTAATGTTATATTAAAAACGTCTAATTGTTTTTCTCTTTTTTCAATTGAAAGATTGAATTATATTGAATTATATTAACTTATAGTGAGTTGTATATAACATTATATTATTTACCTTTTTACTATTCAAATATAATCTTTAATTAAAATTTCCAATAAAATTTTCTAGGAAAATTGCAAAAATTTCAATTGATTAATTCAGGATTACATTAATATGGTATGGACGTCTCTCGATAAACTCGCTGTATATTGTATAAATCGAATACTGTTAATGTAATGCTAACGATAAGCGCATATTTGAGAAACGCACACAAAGAAAACGCGTTTTCTCACGCAAAATAGCAAACTTACGCAAAATTATTTCGCGAATGTTAAAATTCTCAGCTGATAGCGTGATTATCATGAGATACGCCAGGTCTCTAATTTTTTATCGAAAATAAAACTCAGTCGTCGCTTTATCATCGTGCTTATCCGACGAATTTCAAAGTAAGTAGCATCATGTAATTAACGTAAGATCGTTAGCGACGAGATTTTAATCATCACTGAAGAATGCTAGATAGTATCGAATTGCGCCGCATGTTTCTTCCAGTTTTTTGCAGCGGCACATGTTATTAAAACGTCAATTACGAGTAAATGAAGATTGCAGTAAATATCGTTCTACGTCAATTCGCGCGATGTAAAATCTCGTCTATTTGACAAAATATTATCATACCGTTCAATGTCGTTTATGTGACGTCTTTTATCTATCTATTGCGTTCCAGGAATGAAGAGTTTGTCGTCTCACAACAGTTGTACGCGATATTTTTATACACGTGTTCCATTCGAGAAATACGTTCTATTTAAAAACCGACCAACTCTGTTGCGGTTAAAATTTGTTGAGTTATCATTTTGATATTTTTTCAAGCTACTAGCTTTCTTCAATGAGAAAAATGTCTGTTTTATATTGGTCGCTGAAAATTAATCACCAATGCAAAATTAATTTGCTTATGTATCCCGAATATGATACACACATTTGAAAACAAATTCATCTGAGAATGTGAACGTTTCTGGAGTCGATTTTCACGCACTTTGATCTCACCGGGATTTATTCGGTGCTAATAATGCTCGTGAGTTATCGAAGCTTCATTATTCAAACAGGTAGGATATTTATGAACTATGCTCTTTGAAGAAGCGCACGTGATTAGATAACCAGAGTACACTTGACGTTACACCTAATCTTCAAGAGTTGTACAACATCTACGTTAAAACACGCATACTGCTATCGTAACGAGGATAAATCATACACTGTACTTCCTGCTTATGTTTCGTCTCCTAATCTCAAACATACAGTGAAACGTTGAAAGTGACATAAAAATCCTTTAATTGCATTTAATTTTGATATTAATGTTGAAAATTCTTTGATTATTTGATTTACTTACATTTAATTAGCATCATTTTTATATTGGTTTAAGTAAAGTTGTGCAGAACTCATACTATGAATGTGACATCATATCTGCATATCTTTAGTTGGACAAATATAGAATGTGTTGTAACAGGCATATTTGTTACACGAGCAATTAGCTTTTGTGAAAAATTGATATAATATCTTTTATAAAAGAATTTCGAGATAATACACCCGTACACTTATAATAATCGAGGAAGAAGCGATCTTGATTTTCATAAAATCAGCGACATTTATTATTCAATTAATTTCAGATGTTGATAAAATTTTGGTTCGATGTATAGTTAGCAATAGATGAAATTAAAACTTTTAAGAAATATAAAAATATATTTATTAGTTAAATTTTGATTTTAACATAAAGTGATTTTACACTTAATAGAAATAGAAAATGTCCAATTGTTGGTTAAATTCACTAGTTAAATAAACAAATTCCGTAAAAATTAAAAAAATAACCGCGAAATGACGTAATATTTAATAATAATTATCAATAATATTGCTGATTAAATCTTTCGCGAGACCCTTGCAACTCCATTATTTTCTTGCGTGCCTCTTTAACGTTATGCTTACGTCAGATCCTTTAATCGTTGCGTTGATCGGCGCAGAGTGTGATAAATGAAGGATTGTCAACAATCTAAGAGTGTAAAGAAACGGCACCACCGTGTGCGAATTACACCAGTCGAAAGTTTCCTATCCGTCACAATCAGTTGAGGAAGATGCAGTGAAATGCCGTGCCTATCATCGAGTACGAGAGGGTGACAACGAGCGTGCGTGTTGCACTCTGGATTAGAATCATCACGGGTCAACTGGCTGAATTATCTTGGTTGACGTTTTGCACCTTCCAATTGATTTCAATGGAGCCTCATCCGCTACCGACTTGCAGCTTGGAAAAATTATTCTTTCCGCAGCCTCTTCTCTACCTGATTCGAATTTACCCATATACTTGCACATCATGGTTCACGACCAGATAATATTGCAGTCGACAAATGGATATACTTACAGTGAATTTTTTAACAATTAATTTTCATCGATTACTGAAAAATTAATGATACCTTTGTAGTTTTAAACCAAACTATCGAATTTTTATATCAAACCAAGAGAATGGAATATTATTTTGTAAAACTTAATTATTCACTCTTATTGAATTTAATTATTCAATCGCGGTCTGTGAATGTGATTACATACACTAGGACGGATATGCGACTAAACTAAATACTGTGATGAGTGCCGAATTTCTTTTCTCGAATAATTTTAATAGTTCAAGTCGAAGGAACTGTGTGTGTCTGTGTGTGTGAGAAGAGCATAAGAAAAATGTAACGATGGCATGCGGGAGCCAAACTACCCGAACCAGTTGAACGGGCTTAAAACGACTGGTTCAGTTTTCATGGTCTCATTGTATAGGCATATAAGTGATTGTTGAGAAATACGGTGTTGCAAACAGAATGTAGCTTCGTATCGTTAGCGGTTTGTACGTATATCCTACAGCATAAATTGATATTCAAACTCCCGCAATGGAATTAATATCCATTTCAATGAGTGACCGAGCCTGATTGTAATCGTTACTGATAAACCGTTTGAACCAGACTGTTCTAACAAAACCATACTTTTTCGCGTGCGATTCGATATCTTTAAACTTTTGATATATTTTGTCACTCAACATTCGTTCGAAATATACAACAGGCTACTCAAAGTTTTCGTTAAAACGCTGTCTTCTCTTCTTTTATTCGTTTCCGATATTTTGAGGCATCCTAAAGTTGAGAGTAACTCGTTATTATCTTATCATCCTGTAAATTCATGTTACAATGTGTGCTTAAACTTCGGTGATACGAAATTTACGGAACATTTAGCTAATTAAGTACTTTTCCGTGCACAATCGCTGATGCAACGCGCGTTCCACTTTTCGATTTCCCATTAATCGAGAATGTTAATTGATTTATAGTGACATGCAATGGATACGTTACAGCGGGAGACTTTATCTTAGAATTTATGAGCAAAGAGGAAACCATGTTATCAGAAATTACATGCTCCAGACCATTCATCTTTCATAACTTGCTAAGTTATGAAAGCAAAGACTAAACATAATAATCACATATTATACATCTTCATTAAATTAAGTTGCGTATTTGTAACGTATGTCAAAGGTAAATTTACGTTTGATGAACTCCATGATTTTACGATAATACTCTTGTTGAACATTGGCATAATGTGTAAAATAACATATTTTAGTTTAAATTAATAACGAGTGCTAGAGATGTACGTCTTAACATTCACTAATTTCTAGACAAAAATATTATTGCAGAACATTTTGTTGCAGAAAAACAGACTTGAGGGAATAGTAATTTAACTCAACATTACAAGAATTAAATAAAAAGTTTTCTTCGAAGAAAGTATTCGATATTGATCAAAAATAAAAATAAAAATAGTAAAAGAATTATTTAATCAAATTAGAAGGAAAGATTGGTAACGTTATCAGTTTCATTCAAAAGGAGAAAATATTTATTAGTCTGTGTTTTTATGAGATTTTATTTTTGTTATGCGGGCGTGCGTCACATGTAATGACAAGACTGATCGTCTTTCGGGTCTACTGATATTGCAATATGTAAAATGGTACTCGCGATAGACTTCCGCGGATGCTTGCTGTAAATTAATCTGACGTGATAACAGAACGATGACAGAGTTGAGATAGCAGATGTTATGTCTAAGTAATGTCCGCAACGATATTTAGAGCGAAACTATGGGAACTTATGCAACACACCGCAATTGTATAATAACCTATTAGCAAACAAATTGTGTCATATGTTGTTTTGTTGAAATATAGTATAAATTTTTTCTACATACCTGCACTTCAAATTAATTATTTGCTAGGCTTTCTCAAGTTCAGAAAGACAAAAACCTGTTAATCGATGAAACAAAACTGTGTTCTTTCAATAGTGCAGGTGTTTTATATAATCAATTATTTTTTATAAGCTGCTTCAAACCAGAGGGCTTCTATCAATGTTATCAGGCTTTTATCAATGTTTCTCTCTTGTTGCAGAGAGCCGTTAACGTTTCGACATGGTCGTTCCTACGGATCATACACTTCACGAAGCAATTCAAGTATCGTCACTGATACTTTCTGACGATGTTAGACGACAAAAAGTAAGTATAACGCATATTTGAACTTCTCAATTAAGATTTCGTTCGTAATATTATACATTTAAGATACATGGACATTACCACATCTTATTTTCAATGTTTAACTTCTACATTTACTCTGAACTTATCTTCTTTTCTGTACTAATCGTAAAATGAAGTTAAAAGATGATATTATTATCTTATCGAAATTTGATAAGAATATTTGAAGAAAATTAACAGCGACATATGAACTCACTGTTATACTTGTCAAGTTATATATTTCTGCCCTCATACAATTATAGGAATTTCGTTAAAAAAAGTTTGAACAAAGATATATCGTTAGGGACTTTTTTATCCTAGATCTAGGGTTGATTTATTTAATTCTGGATATACATAAAAGGCAAATGAAATTCTCTTGTTATTGATATTAATTTCATAATATATTAATTAAGAGTTTAGTAACTTGAGCCAATTGTCTACAGACTCGTTTTCTTCCTTTTAATTATTATATCACATAATAAAAGTTAATAAATATTATATTTTTTAAACAATATCCAAAATCTAGAATAAAGTCCCTAACGATATATCTTTATTCAAACTTCTTTTAACGAAATTTCTATAATTGTACGCGCTCAGAAATATATAATTTGACATGTATAACAGGAAGTTCATTAACTTCACGTTCGGTCAATAGAACATTGTAGTTAAGTAATCTTGTTTAATTTATAAATAATTATGCGAGTCTCGCCTCAAAAGACAGTTCAAATAAAAGTGGATCGAATTAGATGTCGGGGTTATCAAGACTTTCGTCACAACTTTTATCATACTAAGTTACAGGGTTATCGAGAGGTTGTTATATCTCGTGTTGTTAAAAGTTTAAGAGAGAACAGTTTATCAGTTTATAGATAACGTGGAATTTTTAGCAACTTATTGGACCGGAGAGAAAAAATCATTTTTTATGGTGACTCGTTATTAGCCATATTTATTGCAAATTTATGATTACACAATAATTTTATTTATGCGCAAGAAATCGTTTAATCTTCTGAAACGAAGTAAAGAAGAAAGAATTTTACCATAAATTTTTATCACATTTTGTTTATTTTATGTCTATTATTTTTGTTTGTCAAATTTACTTTGGAAAATGAGATCTTAAAGCAATTATCAATAGCAATTTGTTAATGATATAATCCTATAAGAATATTTACGAATCAGTTTTGAATCACAAAATTTATATAATAAATTTAGCATTTTCCCGATTTTTCATATCGACTTGTATTTGTAAACAAAATAGAATGTAGTATTACAGGAATGCATAGTACTCTAGTACTATTTCCCTTTGAAAAAACTGTTAGTTCATAAAAAAGATAATTTATGCAAATCTATTAAACCAGTTTCTTACACTCGTACATAATAATAAACTGTTCCTGTACGTTATAACGTGATTAAGAGACAGCAGTTCATCGATCTCGTCATGAGAAAAATTTTAAACCAGACAAATGTCCATTTAAATGTGTGCGTATAAATCTTCTTTCATATACGTTAGATATAATTAATTGAGAATACGCTTTGTATGCTGCACGTGCGGCATAAGTTTCTCTGCGGTATGTCTGCTCAGAATTCTGTTGGAAACTGCGTAATACATAATGTAAGATGTAAACAATACTGTTTCCATGAGATACCTGTTTACCGAGATACCGGTAGAATTTATGGATCGAGGAAAATTTTTCTTCTCGCGGCGGCGAGATGATATTGCCTGCCTGTCGACACGCATGTATCATCCAACGTATGCAACACATTTTTCAAAGGGAAAAACTCTGTTCGCAGATCGAGAATCACATGGCGAAGATGCGATTCTCCGCGGCAACTGCGCGGAAGATACAGGATGTTTTTATTTCGGAAATGAACAAGGGAATTCATCAGCAATCGTCCTCTTTGCAGATGGAAAACACCTATATACCGGAACTACTCGATGGAACAGGTTATTAAGTTTCTACGCTTAACAACGATAGCATGTATCACTCTGGTGTGCATTTTACATCCTCTTACAAGTCTTATCACTATTTAGCCAAGACATTACCAACGACAAAAATAATAAAGCTGGTTAATTCTTTCCAATTACTAATCCTTTTTCAACAAAATCATTAATTGATAGCAGAATTTACTGTATTGCATGCTTTATATTTCAATTTCTCATGTGAAATAAAATGTGCGATAAAATTCTCGAAATATTATTTGAAGTCGAAATATGTTGTCTGATGAAACTTGTGCAAAGCTACTCGGTGAAAATTGCTTTTAATTTTTAAATATTATTATTGTATATATGTATTAAAATAATAAAAATACAATTTTAAAATTTATCTACACGGCAGATTATTTCAAACAATAAAGGGAGCGTTTTATTTCACTAGACAAGTATTGAAAAAAATCACAGTCAGAAGAAAGATACTAATAGGTATCGAAGATATCCAATCGATTTAATACTGACAGTCAAACTATGTTTGAATACTTGTAGAAGAGGGTCTTTACTTGGCACTCGACCTCGGCGGCACTAACTTTCGCGTGCTCCTGTTGGAGTTGGCTCATGGTGCTCCCGTACGACAAGAAGTGAAGCGATATTACATCGGGTCTGAATTAAGGGTCGGCTCGGCAATCCCTCTGTTTGACTATTTGGCCGAGTGTGTCAGTGATTTCGTCATTTCTCAGGGTCTTCAGGACGTGGAGCTTCCTCTTGGTAAATTGAGTTTCGCATCCACGGCACACGTCGGGAATATCGAACGTGCGAAATCTTTAATTGACTCGAATTGCCATACGAGACGTCGTCTATAAATAACGACTTTGCGACGAGGTGTCGTATATATAGAAAAGCACTCTTGTTTGCCGTAGGAAGGTGGAAAGATATAATTTAATGTAACTAGCTCTATTATCATAATTGCCTACGCTTGTCCGATCGCGCGTTCTTCTGCTTCCAATCTTGATACGATCCGTATTTATACGCAGGCTTTACCTTCTCCTTCCCGATGGTTCAACACTCGTTGGACGTCGGTATTCTGGTGACATGGACCAAGACGTTCAACTGTCCCGATGCTGTGAACAAGGACGCCGTGAGGCTCCTGCGAGAGGCATTGGATCGGCGAGGCGACACAAAGGTGAAGGTCGTAGCCGTTTTAAACGACACGACAGGTACCTTGGTACAGGGATCAACTTTGGATCGTAACACGGCGATTGGACTTATTCTGGGAACTGGCAGCAACGCCTGTTATCTGGAACGCGCGGACCGGGTCGAGCATTGGGAAACGGAGAGACACGGCGAGAGAGAAGTAAATTTTCGACATATCACGAGACATGTACAAAAAGATAGATGCTATTATTTTCTCGGACGAATCTGCTTCCAGTTCAACAAAAATGTTTTGGAAAGCCACTTTATATTTTAATCGCATTATATATTTTATAATCTTCTTAATATTACATCATAATTTTTTTACTTTCTCCTTTTTTTGTGTACATGCCACATGGAAGCATTCACAAGTTATTGATCTAATTTTCGTTGCTCCAGGTTATCATTGATATCGAGTGGGGCGCCTTCGGCGATAATGGCGTCTTGGACTTCATCAAGACGGATTTCGATCGCGAGAACGACGCAAATTCCCTTATCGTGAATTCGTTTACGTAAGTGAACAGACTCGTTGCATTATCTTTAATTAGGTAGTAATTATTCTGCTTGCAAGAAGTGGATATCATTTCCGATAATATTGTTTATCGATTTGCCTGTATCTGTACGAAAAAATTGAGATTTTAAATGTTAAATGTGGTTAACTAATAATTGATGCAATCAACGTATCTATTAAATAAGATATAATCGAACGGTTGTGTTAAATAAAAACGTTCGATTCATTGAACCTTGTGTTATCCAATTGAAGAAATTTTGAAGGCGCGCAACTTTATACAAGAACCGTTGAGATGAAAATTCGCTATGATTCGTGTAAAAGAGAAACCCTTGTACATCATTGTGTGACTTTCTTCTTCTTCTTAGATTTGAAAAGTACATTGCTGGCAAATATCTCGGTGAGGTGGTTCGCGTGATACTTGCGAAGTTGACCAAAGAGAGGCTTTTATTTGTAGGAGAATCTACATTAGACAGTCTCCTAACGCCCGGTGATCTTACCACCGATCTGATATCGCACATCGAGCAGTGAGTACGCTCAGATCGATCTCTCAATCCGTAGAGCTTCGCAGATGTACATGCCTTGAATTTCGTGACTTCAGGGACGCGGTGGACGGCGGCGACAGTAATACGAGGGAGGTCCTTGGGAAATTCGGCATCATTCCGGACGAGGATGACATCAGAATCGTTCAATACGTGTGCCAGGTCGCCTCTAACCGCGCAGCTCTTCTAGTGTCGATATGTACGTTATATGGAAAGCTAGCTTAAACGACGTTACTTTAAACGACGTTTGTCGAGCGAAGATTTGACAATCTCATCGATTATTTCTGTCCAAGGTCTGGCGAGCTTGCTGGATCGCATCGATAAGGAACAAGTGACGATCGCTGTGGATGGGTCTCTGTACAAGCATCATCCTCGATTAGAAGGTTGGATGAAGCAGTACATCTCGCTTCTCAGCCCAGGACGAAAGGTACGTATTAAAATATTGTAAATTAACGAAGCTTCTTTGCTTAGGAGACAATGCTGCTTAAATAAGAGAAAATTTCTAACGCATTATATTGCAAACGCGTCGTTCTGCCTCTAAAGATGAGAACACTTTTAAACAATTTCCTTTTAAACAGTTTCCAACAATTCGACGCGCTCTTTTATTCTTTCTTGCGTAGAAGAGAAATTTTTGTACTACATTCTTTGCACTCCTCGCATACTTAATACTTTCTATAAAGGTTCCCCTTCCATAAATATGTTTATTCTGATCGCAGTTCAAATTAATCCACGCGGAAGATGGAAGCGGCAAGGGCGCCGCGCTGGTCTCCGCTATCGCACAAAGAATCCAAAAGCGGTTAAAATAATCGCGAGCAAATTATAAAAAGAAGAAAAACGTCTACCTGTCATCGTAGCCGTCGTTATCATCACCGGCGCAACTTTGCACGAGTCGCCAATAGTCATAGAAATGCTCCACCAGCAGATTTCAATTCAATATTGCGGCAAATTCCTCGCTGTATCCACAAATATGTTACTCGCGATACTTAGATTGAATTCTAATGGATTGCAGGCGTCTCGATTAATATCAATTTAGGCATTGTGAGTTTGCATCAGGACGCGTTTGTGTCAACCTCGCGACGAAGCGAAATGTCGAAAAGATAGGGGGTATCGATCGTCAGCCGACGCGGCAGGCGCGTGCGTTGTTTTAAGGAAACAAATATACGCTTGTCAAGCGCGTGGGAGAACCGAATTAGCAAGCGAATGAATCGAAGAACGATATTATTTATTGAATAAAGCTGCAATGGAAACGGGCGCGTCCGAGAGGCGAACAGTTGTTGCGTATTGTAAACGTTTTGGGAACGTTCCTCTTTTTTGTACGAGAGAAATCACGTTGTTATAATAAAAAGTTAGCGAAACAGATTTATTTTAATGGGGACTTGTTTACTCAGCTGAGATATGCAATGCTTTAGAAAACGAGTTAGTCACGCAAAAATCTGGCCGTTTACAAATCTTGCAAAAATTCGAGAAAAGGATTTACACGATTATCAAAAAATAAATGTAAAAAGCAGGCATATGAGAGTCCACCGCCGATGTCTTAGCGAATTTGATAAAATTAAGTATTTTAAATTTTATTTTAAATATATACAATAATCTTTATTGTTTTCTTCTTAGGGTTACAATTTTATTGTACATTATCCACTTATTCTAAAAAAATTTAGTCTAAACTTAAATCTACTGCTTAACTTATCTATTTTGAGGGTTTGCGAGTTTTTTCACTCCCTCTCTCTATATCTCGCTTACATACACACACACACACACACACATGCGCGCGTCTCCTCCTCTCCAGGATTTACATTTTATTTTAATAAAGTATTAATTTTATCAAGGATATCTTTAAATTATTATTCATTATTTTGCAAATTTCGACATCGTTAAATATTGTATTACTTATTTTTAGTTTATCAAACTCGCTAAGACATCGCCGGATTACTCTCATATGCTCCTTTTCATTTTTATTATTTGACAGTTTAACTTATTTAATTTATTAATACGATTCTTATTTGTCCAGTATTTTACAAGGCGAAGAAGGACGAGTGAGTATCGAGACGGTTTGAGAGTCAAATCGATGTTAAGTGGCCAACAATAGTATCGCGAATTGCCGTTTCGACATTCAAACTTGCCGGCGTTGCGCGCGCAACTCGGCGCGCGCAACTCGGCCGCCATGACAGTCTCGGCGCGTCGCCTCGGAGTTGCACGGAGCGCGATCGCTCCGCGATCAATCGCGAATTTTGCCCGTCGGGGACGCACGGCGACGCGCGTTTTACTCGGGAGTGTCGACCCAGAGCGTCGGGCTGTCGCCGGAGCGTGTCGGTCGTCGCGGATCTACGCGATCGGCGTCGTTTCGTCGACCGGGAGCCAACGGCTGCACCGAGGGTCCGTAGGCGGGAGCGGCGCAGGTGAGTCCAGACACCCAGAACACGCTTACATTCGCTTCTAACTGTAGATTGACTAGAATCAAGCAGGGATAAGTACCCAGAGTCGAGATAATCGTTCACTCGCGTTGCAAAAGCGGACGTGAGAGACGTCCGAGTGCGATCCTTGCCGTTGCTTCGCGCCGCTCGGAGGCGCGCTTTTCCCGTGGAACGCGCGACGCGATCGACGCTCGCGTTCATTTCGCGCGGCAGTCGCCGTTTCACGGCTGCCGACGCTGTGAGGGCCGCCCTTTCATCGGGATACGAAACGCCTCGTCCCTACGAGATCAGTCCCGCGATTTTCGGCCGCCCCGGGAGCTCTCGGAAGGCGCGAACGCTGCCGCACGGATATTTCAAATAAATCGAGCCGTTCGCCTGGCGACGGCAGATGGCGGCACCGGCACGGACGGGAACGGCTCGCGCGACTCGGCTCGGCTCGGCTCGACTCGGCTCGGCTCGCCGCGCCGCGCAGCTCGCGGAGTGACAGCTCGCCGAGAGGCCGAACTGTCATCGGCGGTGGCCGCGCGCGCGTCAACTAACGTAACCCGTGGTCGGTCGTGGTGTGTCGCGAGTAATAATCGCCGTCGTGCCGGGGGTTGACGCGCGGCGTGCTCGCGCCGGCTTTACGGACGCGTCCGGTCGGTGTCACCGCGCGTTACGAGGTCCCGTCCGTTTTTTTTCCTCCCGTCGAAAAAGCCGACGGCCGCTGCCGCCACCGCCGCCGCCGCCGCCGCCGCCGCGCGCGCACGGTGGGTGCGCACGCAGGGGAGAACGGCTCGCTCCGCTCGCCGCCGCCGCCGCCGCCACCGCCGCGCCGGCTCGGCCAGTCTACTGGAAGATTCCATTGTGAGAGTGAGCTTTCGAAAAGTTTCGCGGAACCGCCGGCGAGCACCTCGCGGATTGCCGTCGTCGAGCCACCGGGACGCCCAGACCCAGGTACGGTGTCCAGTCCTGTCGACGGCGCCTTTTGCGAAATTCGCCGCGAGTGCCTGCGCGTGCCTGTGTGTGCGTGCCGCGTATACGTGTGTGTGTGTGTGTGCGCGCGCGTTGTAAGCGAGAGAAAGAGGGAGACAGGTTGAGGTTATTACAGCGGTCGCTCTCTCTGGGTTCAGCTGGGCTCTCAGCTGATGCACCGACCGACCGGTTCGCCGCTGCCCGTAGGAGTCGTCGATTCCGCGAACGCGACACGGCGACGGTGTGACGGGCCTCGGCTGATCCCACTGGGACGTCGATCTCGGGGATCCTCGCCGTCGCGATCCGCGCTGCAATTCGTCCAATTCGCGCGACGACGGCGAGGAAATTCGGGGAGGAATCGCGATCGCGTCGTCGAGTCTGACCCGATCGACGACGACAACAACCCCCTCCCCCGCTCGTGTCGAAGGCACGGATCGGGGAGGGGTAGGGGGGGGGGGCTCGGTTAAACCAGGGGTTAGCGCGAGCCGAGGTCGGCGGAATCGACTCGCGTCGGGTCGCGTTGATGTGACAACAGCCCGGGCTCGCTCTCGCGTTGTAGCTCCGTCCGATGGAGGCCCTCGCGTCAGGTCGCTTTCGGTCACTCGGGCAAACCGCGTCCGTGGGGTCCGCCTCTCGAACGATTTTCATTCCAAAACGCATCCCGCGACAGATTTCTCTCTCGCGACGAGAGAGGTTGTCCAGCGCGCGGCTCGCGACGTCGACCTCGGTCCAGTTGCCCGTGCGACACCGCGAGGATCCCCCCCATTTCCAACGCCGAACCGTCCAAGTTTGCGTCTGAAACGCGAGCGCTCTTTCAAAATGTGTACGAATCTTTGGAGATGTACTTGCGCGAGTAGTAGCTCGGGTTCACAATGCCCGTTTCCACCAATGTAGATTAACTTTGACCTCGGTTTAACTTACTTTTTACCATTTTCTAGTCTCAGGAATTGGAAAAAGATGACTCGGGGCCCCGGCTTCGCCAAACGTCGCTCAGCTTTGATCTTGGTTTAATTCGTGCTCGTCCCTTTCTAAAGTAACAGCTGGAAAGAGACAGAGAACGAATTAAACTGAGCTTAAAGTTAAGCGACGTCGGTGAAACCGGGCCTCAGTCGTGCAGGAATTAAAGTTAATCCGCCCTGGTAGAAATGGACGCCAAAGTCAAATTGTTTCACTTGTATTTCGCTGATGTAGTTAACATTGTGCTTGGTTAAAATTTTCGAAGGAACTCTGGCTCGGTCGTCTCGACCGCGCACCCCTTCCGCTCCCATCGAGAGCAGAAACGACTCTCCTCGCCCTCTCATACGAGTACGTGACACTTTGCGCATCGGCGATTTCACCTCGCGAGACTCTCGCGGCGCGTCGATTCCCAAGCGCCTGACCTCTGCGACGTCGGCAATACGGTGGCCGATTGATATCTCTCGAGGTGGACAGCGAGAAAATCGGCGTCTCTTTCATTATTTCAGGGAGAAACTCTTGAACCGACTCGGATTAAGTGGACCAAAGTCAAATGTTTTACTTCTCTTTCGCCGCGTTAACGTCGTGATCTTTTCCCGACGAAAATTTCCGAAGAAATACGAATTGATTAACGCTACGTTCGCATATATCACCGCCCCGGTGTATCATTTTATCTCTGTCGCCGAACGTTCGCCGAACGTTTCAACGAAATAAAGATAAAACGATACACTTGTGTACTCGGGTGATATATCCGAAAGCAGCCTAAGACGAGATCTTCATTCAGACGCTGATTGCAAGACAGCAGTAATTTTTAATAAATAAACGAGAGGGAAAGAGAGAGTGTGTGTGAGTTTTAGGCATTAAAATTTTGTGACGTCTAAAGCCTAATCTGCAATGTACGTCTACACCCACGGAAAAAATTTCCGGATCCAATGCTATTACACTTGAATGTATCATAAAATAGGATCGATATAGCGCCAATCATATTTCTTATAGAGAAAGGGATATTTTAATGTTAAATGAAAAATTCTAAGATCTAGAATAAAATGATAGTATCGTCTTTTGTCGAATATCGCGGTGCCAACTTGGTGCGTTGTAAGATGGAGGGACAATTTATTCTAAACGCGAGAATATATAAACTTACACATAATTTATTCTTGTCTCAATATAGTAAATCAATCTTTTTTTAATTCAATAGAGGACAATAAGAATTATTGATTTTCTTTTGATGTCGTCTTATTTTTATACTAAATGAGTTGTGAGAAATATAAATGCGTGAAGAATATTTTTTGTTTCTGTAACAGAAATCCTTTCTGAGGGTGTAGAAACATTCTTTTTTGTAGTCAATAAATACGTTTAAAAAATTTGTGTAAATTGATACGTTGTATGATCGTACATTGTCGCCAAAGTTTCGAAGCGTTTTGATTCGTTTATATAAAACAGAGTGTTTCTAGAAAGCAGAAAGCACATTGTAGATTAGGCTTAATAATATATCGCTGCAATAACTCGCAAGCTGGTTATTTCGTCTACATGTTACCCTCTATGTACGAAATATTAACGTATTCGTGTTAGCTTATTGAAAGATCGGTCTCGCAAGGTGGTTGTCGAAAATACAAGCAAGATAACGCGGTCGTTCCACGTTGAGAGTCAAATTTCGTCCACGCCCACGAGCGAAAAGGCCACTCCATTAAGTAGCGTGCTACTTAAACTACGTGAATCGGCATTGCGCGGTGCGCATAATTGCACAGGTGGGAGCGCTCATTCATCATTCGCGTAATTTCGAACCGTCGAACAGAACAGGCCAAGTCGGATTTAGCCGCGAAAAGGCAGGGCGACTTTGTCGACGCGATAATCCAGGAAGAAAAGAATAAACATATTCATCGCCACTCATCCGGCCACGCTCTAATCATGAAATCTCATTACGAATCTCCCGCCTGAGAATAAGAGAAAATAATTCGCCGAGGACCAAAGTAATCTCGTGTAATGTCGTTCATTCTGAAGTAGCTCGTCTTTATGCCACTCTTGAGAGGCATTGTCGAGAACGGCGCCATACATTGCAATTTAATTCCGGATCCTTATTATAAGATTTAATTATGCAGGGCGTCTCGCGCGTCGCTACTGCATAAACCATTCAAATTGAGAAGTTCCGCGCGAGCTAAGCGCAATAGAGATGGTCGCGTCCTCGAGGTTGTACTTTTCCAGATACTTAATAGAATTCTAACGCAGTTAATTATAAAACTATATACGTCACATTTCGAAACGGCACCCGAGTACGAGTTTTGAAGAGGCGCTGGACAATTGCGTAAGCGACCTATCGGGGATTTTTTCCTTGTTTACGTCATAACATTTTTAGTTTCATAAAAACACGTTTCATAATTCGCGACGCGACGCGAATTTACGCGCGGAGGTCACTTTTCGGCTCTTACGCAACGTCGCGCCGCCGAGACACCGCTCTCGACGTCGAGAGGCTTCCCCTACGGAGGGCGTACGGATATTCGCGAAAGGGCAACGAGGACGTCGCTGTCGCGGCGGCACCGTTATCGCTCGCGAATCGACTCGCTTTTCCGTGAAGCGCCGCGCGCCGCAAACGTCGAGGTCACCGCGCCCGGTTGCAGCTGAGCTTCCAGCTGACGAGCGGAGGCTGCGACCGGTTCGCCATGCTCCTTCCTCCCCTCCAGCTGTATTTCGCGCGCGCTCCGTCTCTCTCCCTCCCTCTCCCTGTTCCTCCCCCTCTCTCGTTCTCTCCACGCGTTCCTCTTCCATCGACCACCTCCTCCTTTTTCCCTTTAAATCGCCTTTCACGTGCTCTGCCTCCGCCGTCGTCTCTTTCCTCCTCCTCTCCTGCTCTTCTGCCTTTTCCACCACCTCCTCCTCTTCCTCCTCTTCCTCCCTCGCTCGCTCGCTCGCCCGTCCGTACGTACGTCCTACCCCTCTTCAGAAGTTCGCATTGTTCGTCGCGCGCGCACCGCCGGGAACGGCCGACTTGGTTGAACCAGTTCCGAACCGTTTCGTTCGCGCGTCTCTTTGGCACGTTCCGCGTGACGGCGAACGCGCGCCGTCTCGAGTAACGCGACCGATCGTGAGGGACAAGAGTGCACGTTAATTTGGGGTGCGAGGAGAAAGAGAGAGGACGAGCACGCGATCGCGCGCTGATGTTACGGGCTACGTCAATCGCATCTGCGAATTTCGTCGCAAGAGTCACTTTCGAGCTATCGTCCCGAATGAATCGCCCATAGTGGAGGAAAGAGTGGATCTCTAATCGATGCTTCCTCAGCGTTGTTTGAGCAATTTTCGCCGACCGATAAAATGTGAGATACGTCCCGTGAAATACACGTCATCCCGTTTATATTTTGACTCTTGATCGTCTACGGCGATCAGAAGCCTCGATCAAATTATCAGTGAACTCTACAATATCCTGGAATACCACTAGGTGTTGAGGAAATGGACGGAGTGAGGCGGACAAGATACCATCTGCATCTCTTTCTAGTAATTCTTGGTGAACGATTTTCTCTCTCATCTTATACGTGCAAGTGGGATAGAAATAATGAGATAGAAAATCGTTGGTCAATCAGTATTGCTGCACGGAGAGAATTTTCTCTTAAAATTTATCCTGAAAATCATGCAATCGTGGGACAACTTGGCACTTCGAAGAATCTTATGAGAGTGTTTTAAAAGTTTACCGTACATTCTACTAGTAACACGTGTACTAATTGTAAGATAATCACCACTCTCTAAAACTCGATCAGTAGATTACTCTCTAAAATTTGTGGAGTGAAAATACTGCCATGGAGTGAAGTGTTTACTCCATTGGAGTTAATATTCACTCTGTTGGAGGAAATATTCACGCCAATAGGGTGAACATTTCACTCCATGGCAGTATTTTCACTCCACAAATTTCAGAGAGTAAGAACAGCTATTAACATGCTATTAGCGTGACATGTTGAAGAACTTTACGAGAGTTTCTTGAAATTTTATCATACATTTTACTGTCTCTCTGAAAGTCACTCAGTGGATTATCACTGAAAACA